TAATAATCTTGGCTCTGATTTTAGATGCAATCAACCTTCCCTCTGAAATTTTACTCTGATTCTTCTTCCTTTGTTGACAGCGAACGATTAATCCTGTCAAGTTATCGGAGGTTTCAGGTGATGAGATTTTCCATTGATGAAATCAATAACTCCACTGATCTGCTGCCAAATGTAACTCTGGGTTATGAAATATTTGACCACTGCTCAGACATACAGAATTTTCCTGGCATTTTCAACCTTATCTCTGAAAATAATGTCATTTACCCATGGGATGAGTTGAGCAGCAACGTTTCTAAAGTGATTGCAGTGGTTGGGACCTATACAAGCACAGAGACTCTGTCGGTGGCCCCACTCTTCATGATGGATCTTATTCCTATGGTAAGTCTTCATACTATTGGCTTTAACTAAGAAAAAAAAACATAAAACTGCCTGACGAGATGTACGTTTGAGAAAAAAAATATTTTTTTTCGGAAAACAGGTCAGTTACGGGGCTGCTAGCTCTGTCTTCTCAAGAAAACAGAACTTCCCATCCTTCTTGCGAACCGTCCATCCCAATAAAGATGTCATTGAAGTGGTTTATAAAATTCTGCAGAACTTCAACTGGCGCTGGGTTGCATTCCTTTACAGTGATGGTGATTATGGAAAAGACGGCTTGGACTTGTTCTTGAAGAAGATAAAGGACACCGAGATCTGCTTGGCATACACCAAAAGCCTCAACAGCAATACAGATTATCCTCTCTTATTCAGACAGCTAGAGGCACAAAGAGTGAATATCATCATTGTTTTTGCTCCTGAATGGACTGCCGAAGCTCTCATTAAAGGAGCCATAAAGGAAAACGTGACCAACAAAGTGTGGATAGCAGGGGATGCTTGGTCCTTACACCAGGAGCTCCCCAAAGAAAATGGAATCAGAAATATTGGAACTGTCCTTGGGGTAGCTGAGCCAAAAATGGCCATACCCGGTTTCAATTACTTCATCTATTCCTCCGCAGCACGGCCTCAGCATGATAACAAAGATGAGCAAAAATTTTGTAATCAGATTTGTGAGTGTCCCAATGTAACCGCTGCAGATGTAATCAACGCAGACCCTTCCTTCAACTTTCCTGTTTACTCTGCTGTCTATGCCGTTGCACATGCTTTACACAATGTCTTGCAATGTGGGTCCGGCAGGTGTAATAAAGATATATCAGTGCAACCATACATGGTAAGTATGCAGAAAACATACAACAGTATTTTAAAAAATTTTTTTATCATCTGGCAGTTTTTATGGTTTTGGAAGTCCTTTGAAAGAGACAAAGTGTCGATGTTTATTTTTCTGGATAAATACAGTCATTCAAAATACACACACTTTCTGTCAGTGCAAGATTATCCCCAAGGATAATTATGTTGACAAATGTACTAAAAATAATTCATCAGTATGTCAGGATATTGGACTTTGGAAAATAGATCAGGCCTCTTGAACTTGTTTTGTCATATTAAAACAACAAACCTCTACATTTGTTGTTGCTTTTTTTTTTTTTTTTTTTTTTAGGAAAACCAGTCCAAATTTATTCTAGAAAAATGCTTTTGTTAGAAGTATATCTCTTGATGTTACTGGTTGTTAAATCCTAGAATGAAAACTATATATCTAAAACTATATACTAAATTCATGTTCTGCAATCGTTGCACTTTTTGGATACAATAAGTGTAAAAGAGTCAATCCAAGAATAATTAAGGTGTCATTCAAATCACACCGTATCTAAACTCTTGTACTTTGAATTCACCTCATTTATCCCACACTTTAAATACCAAGGTAGAGCAATGATTGCATCCAAACTTTGCTTGTCAAATGCAGGTTTTAACAGCACTGAGGAAATCCAACTTTGTACTTTTAAACGAGAGCGTTCAGTTTGACGAGAATGGGGACCCCATGTTCGGATCTTATTCAATCGTTTTCTGGAACCAAAGTGGTGAGGCAGAGGAGGTCGGGTTTCACAGGTTTCACCCATTTCTCCATTTCTTCGTCAACAGCACCAAGATCCAGTGGCATTCTGACGGGAAGGTAACCTCGGCTTTTCAAATCAAAAATTGAAGCCCTACTACCAGCATTACACTTGGCTGGATGTAGAGCCGCACCGGAATGTAAATAATATTGTGAACAAAAATGAAACACCATCCCTAAAAGGGAAAGCCATAGTATAGTGTGTATCCTGTTTTCATTTCAATCCAACTAAATAATGGAAAAATATATAAATTGTTCCATTCACATCTCTACTCTATGCATAAATAACCCACCTCCTACTCCTTTTCTTTGTTAATATGCACAGGAACCAGTGTCATTTTGTTCCAAAGAATGTCCTGAAGGGTATTCAAAAGCACAAGAGGGAATCCACAAATGTTGTTTCAAATGTAAAATCTGCCCAGATGGGACTTACATCAACACTACAGGTAAAAGCTTCTACTTGATACTTTTATGAAAAAGAGTAAGTTGACGAATCTTTGCGTGCTATTCAAAAAATGCCTGACATTTGACGGGTTTTCGGTGTTAGTTCTCATATTAACAACAGGTAAGATAAACTGCAGTAGATTTTTCAGCCTAGAAACATTTGAATTCTCTTTGATATTCATAAAGTATTTTTTAACAGCATTGAAAGAAAGATGTTGTATATATTTAAACTGCAAATATATATTTATAGTTTTTCTTCAGCCCTGTTGACCATGTGGTTTTATTTTGTGTACTTCAGAGGACCCCTACAACTGCATCAGCTGTAAGGAGACGGAGTGGTCTGACCCAGGAAGTACGCTGTGCAGACTGCGCCTGGTGGAGTTCATACCGTTCACAGACAGTGGCGCCATAGTGATCATGTCCGGAGCCTCCACCTTCGTGGGCCTCACGGTAGCCATGTCTGTTCTCTTCGCCTTCAACTACAACACGCCTGTTGTCAGATCTGCTGGAGGACCGATGTGCTTCCTGATTTTAGGCTGCCTCACTCTGTGCAGTGTCAGTGTGTTCTTTTACTTCGACAAACCCACGATCCCATCTTGTGTGTTAAGGTTTTTGCCCTTTCTGTTGTTCTTCACCGTTTGTCTGGCATGTTTCGTTGTGCGCTCTTTTCAGATCATTTGCATTTTCAAAATCGCAGCTAAATTCCCCAAACTCCTCAACTGGTGGATGAAATACCACGGACAGTGGTTGGTCATCAGTGTGGCCTTTGTCACACAGGCTGTCTTGCTTATCATTGGCTATTCTGTTGCTCCCCCAAAGCCTTACAGGGATATGTTTTCATACACAGAACTAATAATACTCGGTTGTGACCTTAACCTCAAAGCGATATCTGGTTCTGTTTCTTTACTCGTCTCACTGTGCTCCCTTTGCTTCATTTTCTCCTACATGGGAAAAGACCTGCCAAAGAATTACAACGAAGCCAAAGCCATAACCTTCTGCCTGCTGCTGCTGATCCTCACCTGGATTGTCCTCACCACTACGACCATGCTTTACCATGGAAAGCACATTCACACGTTTACCGCCCTGGCAGTGCTGTCAAGTCTCTACTCATTTCTGTTATGGTATTTTTTTCCAAAATGCTACATTATTATTTTTCAACCTCATAAAAACACTCAGCAGCACTTCCAGGGTCTCATCCAGAACTACACGAAAACAGTTAGCCAGTAGTCGACTTCTTGTGTGTTCTGCTTTAGACAGTAGCTGATGATTGATTTGCAGAAATTTCCTTCAGTGACCTGATACTGTCATAATCTTTCTTTTGCAAACACTTTGGATAAGTGGGTGAGACGATTGGAAAACGTAAAGCCAATCTTAAAATGTATTTGAAGAATTGTTCCAGCTGATAAATATCTCGTTTGCTGACTTTGATTTTGTTTTACATATTTAAATATATACCAATAAATACCTATGTGATAATTATAGTATTCATTAGATTTTTGATCTTACGTTAGTATTTTTTCACCTCTCTACTCTTAAAATGTATATATATAAATCTATAAAATGTGCCAGTTTGTAAAAACCTCAGAACACTCTGTAGTGAACCAAATGTACTAATAATCTATGTACTATTTCTGTGTTGTTCCCATGTTTAATCCCTGTAAACATGATTTAATAAAATGTATAGTAGGTTCGTTTTGTTGGTTATGTAATTTTTCATGTTCCGCTAATAGAAGGCAAAAATGTCACCTCTGTTTTGAACAATCTTATAAATCACAGAGTGAGAAGCACTTACAATTAAAATATTCTCATCCTCTCTATTCTCTGGAAGCTGCTCTTTTGTTTTTTTACTCAGTAGGTCAAATGACTTCACAAAGAAAAAGCAGATCATACTTTTCAAACGATTAACCATGAAAAACAATCCATTCTTAAAATGAATTCAGGCGAACTGCATAGCTGAGATCTTGGCACACTTCTTTTAGTTTATGCATAAGCAAAGGAATTGGTAAACAACCACAATAACTCAGCAGGTTTTGACAACGGACTGATGGATTTGCCATGTTTATGAGCTGAAGAGGGTAATCAGAAGTATGTTGTTGTGGTTTTACATGTATATAAATTTTGTTATCTCAGCCACAATCATCAATCATTATCAATGCTAAGCATCACTAACAATTTGTGGGCATTTCCTTCTTGAAAAGAAAATATTTTTTTAAACTCTGTTAGCAACTTACTACACATTGAGGGGGGTTATTATCTAAAATTGACATCCTTTAAAGCTTTATGTCATTTTATAATGTTATTCCTTCATCAGAAATTCACCTGGAGTGTTGAGTTGATTATTTCATGCATGTTAGAAGAATCCTTGAATCTACCCTGGCAATCACTCAGGGTGCCTAAAAGCTTGCTCCCACAATGTGGTGAATATTTCTACCCAGCCTCACAGAGCAGCCCTCCCCCATGGCTCCCCCACTGAGCTCCCCTAGACTAGCGGCTGCAATAATTAGTGAACATTTGGTGGAAATGTGTATTTGCTCAGCTTACCATACACACTACTTCTCAGTAAAAGCTCACAAGAATGGTTCCAAATGCTAAAGGTGGGGATGTTGAAAATAATAAGAGCTTGTTAAAGAGACAGAGGCCAAATTTCAAGGTGTCAGAATTACAGAGACGTTTCCTTCAAGCTACGTTTGAAATATATACAGCATTTTTATGACAGCTGAAGGTAACATAGTTACTGGACTGTGTGATATAATGGCACTATGTGTAGCATGACATTAAAGACTAAAGATCATATTTTTTGATTAATAAAACACTGACATAGCAGTGAGCTTATTTATTCTAATGGCAACATTATAAAAATTTATTTAAAAGAGAAAAAAACTAAACTCATCTGATTTTATCATAATTAGAAACAAAGTCAATTCTAGTTATTAGTATAAACATGTGACCTCAGGTATTTTAGCTCCAAAAGAGTCTAAAGTATTTAACTCCCCATTGTCCTCCATTTACACCTTTTGTCAAAACCTATAAATCACCCTTTTACCTCTGTCTCATTGCATTTTTGTTTTTTACAAACAGGATGACGTAAATTCAAACTTTAATAGACTCCTGCTCCTGTTTTTTTGCAAACTACCACTGCCTCCCACAGAGGTCTTGCAAATGATCTGTGTGGCCAAAGATGAAGTCAAGCAAAGCTCATTTGTAAGAGGATGTAGCATTTTACCATAAGCTAAAGACACCTGGACGACCTAGTCAAATCATTCGAGTTCATTTGCCTTCAACCACTTACGGACTTTGATCAGCAGTTTTATTGTTCTCATTCACATCTGATCCTTATGTGAAATTCATCCTAAATTTAAACACTTCGTGATACTGCTGAAAGTTTTGCATGTTCACAAATATGTTGCAAGTTTGTTAGAGTTTAAAAAAAAAACTTTCAGTGTTTTACCTGTTTAACAACAACAAAGCAAAATCTGTAAGCATGACTTCAGACTTTTTCAGTTTAACCACATTAAACATATGTGTCCAATATTCAATTGCTTTTGTATTCCAGCAAGTTGTAATAAAGTGTTGTTTTTTTGTTTGTTTGTTTTTTTTTGGGGGGGGGGTTTCCACAGCACACAGGCCCAATATTTTAAGTGGCAAATCTTGGATGTTCCAGTTGAGGTATTAAAGTTATCTAAATTATACTAAGCCCGGGATCTGATTAAAAAAATTAAAACAGGATGACCTTTTTGACAGTGACTTCCAACTTGCTTCTGAAGAAATAGAACAATCCTGAACTACGGGGATTTTCTTTGCATGCTCATTTGTTAACTGTCCACCAATCATTTCAAGATATGTACATATGATATGTGAAGCCATGCATAAAAAAAGTCCATGGAAATGCAACATTAGAGGATTGCCCTTCCAAGAGATTCAATTCCTCGTTTAAAGCAGAGCCTGACTAATGTCTCCCACTGACACTGTAAATCTTAAATGTATTAGGATGACATATTTTCTTTTTTCAGCAGATTTTCTCTTAATTTTTCAGCTTTTGCTGAGGCTGTGTGCTGCCACAGCCTCAGAGTTTCATCTGGATGGTGACTATTTAATTGGGGGACTCTTTGATATTCATCATGTCGATTTTTCAGTTCATCCCAGACCAGAAGCCATCGACTGCTCCAGGTAAGTTTCACAAAAAATGTAACATTTTTACTTATTTTTACACAAGTCATATCAGCCATCTCACTGTAACTTTGTTCCACACTAATTGCGCAGAGAATAATTAACTTTTCATGGAATATTTCCAGCCATTCAGAAAACTAAAACAAACAACAAAGAAAACCTATTTTCTCTGTTTGCAGTCAAATCTTCTCTTTGTCAAGTTACCGGAGGTTTCAAATTATGAGATTCTCGGTGGAGCAAGTCAATAATTCCACCAACCTGCTTCCAGATGTCTCTCTTGGCTATGACATATTTGACCAATGCTCGGACACAAAGAACTTCCCAGGAATTTTCAATCTCATATCAGAAAATGGCATGGTCCGGCCGTGGAGAAATTCGCCTGAGAATCTCTCCAAAAGTCCCAACGTGATTGCTCTGATCGGCCCGTTCACCAGCACCAACACCTTGGCTGTAGCCCCGCTGTTTATGTCCTACTTAATCCCGATGGTAGGCTTTACTTTATTATTGCTGTATAAAATAAACAATGCCAACCAACAGTTTGAATGTGTAGTTTGTGAATGTATTGTCACAAAAACTGTGTGAGTTATTATTCTTTCTACAGGTGAGCTACGGCGCTGCCAGCTCTGCCTTCTCTCAAAAAGTCAGATTTCCATCGTTTCTCCGGACAGTGCCTTCCAACAAAGAAATCATAGATGTCATGGTTAACATCTTAGTGCACTTCGACTGGCGCTGGGTTGCTTTCCTTTACAGCGACAATGATTTTGGCACTGACGGACTGGAGCTTTTCAGAAAAGCGATTAAGGAGACCGACACCTGCCTGGCCTACGCCAAAGGCCTCAACGAAAATACGGGGCACGCTCAAATGTTCAAACAACTGGATGAGCTGAATTTAAACACCATCATTGTTTTCTCCACCGATTTGGATGCCGAAGCTCTCGTTGAGGCAGCAGTACGACTGAATGTCAGTGACAAGGTGTGGATAGCAGGGGACACCTGGTCTTTGAACAAAAGGCTCCTCAGGTTGGAAGGGATCGAAAACATTGGAACTGTACTTGGGGTGGCTCAGTCGGTGTTGCCAATTCCTGGTTTTGACGATTTTATTTACTCTACCAAATGCCAGATGGCCAAAGAACAGAAGTTTTGTAATCAGTACTGCAACTGCAGCAACCTAATCCCAGACGACATCATTTCCATGGATCCGTCCTTTTCATTTCCTGTTTATTCTGCTGTGTTTGCCATTGCTCACGCCTTACACAATGTACTGCAGTGTGGAGCTAATAAATGCAACCGTGACACTGAAGTCCAGCCATATATGGTAAGGAAGTAAGTCAATAAGAAAGGTTTAATTTATTAATTTAAGCTTTATTTGGTTTTAATTTAAAAGAGACTTCTGCATGGTTTAGCATTCGTACAAACGCATACTTGGAATAATTTTTCTTATAGAATAGCGCTTTGCATTCAAAAAGTCAATGTGTTGATTTTTTTTTTTGCACTGCTTTCTCAAATCTAAGGCGATTTTTACTAAAAAAAAAATTTAAACCGTGGATTAACACTTTGTTCTGATATCCACTGTAGGTTTTGGACCAGTTGAGGAAGTCAAATTTTACACTCTTGAATGTGAGAGTTGGGTTTAATGACGATGGGGAGCCCATTTTTGGGTCGTACTCCATAGTTTTCTGGAACCGCAGCAGCAGTGCAGAGGAGATCGGCTTATATACGTTCTTCCCATCCGTCAGTTTCTCCATCAACAGCACCAAGATTGAGTGGTTCACAAATCACCAGGTAAAGTTGAGGGTTTTTTATTAATACATTGTATTATCGTTCCACTCCAAGGCATTTTTCTGTTCTTTTTGGGAAAGAGACAGCAGGGAAAACATAAACAGAAGAAAGTATAAACAGATGGGTTGCTACTATGTATTAAGTTATAACAGTTGTACATTTGTTTTCTTTTTCTTGGGTATACGTCATATTTGTAATCTTTGCTCTTGCTGTATGCGTGAAGGTGCCCATTTCACAGTGTTCCCAAGAATGCCCTTCTGGATATGCAAAGACCCAAACTGGGATCCATAAATGCTGCTTCAGGTGTGACGTGTGTCCAAATGGAACCTACATCAGCACTGCAGGTAAATAATTATCCATGAGATTTTATTTTTTCAAAAGACTGGCTGTATTTTCATGTGAACAAATAAGTGTGTATTATTTACAGTAATTGCCAGCTGCTATCTAGTTGCACCTAGTAGTAAAACTGTTTTGGAGAAAACTGTATTAAATGTTTTCTCTAAATTAATGTAAAAACAACACAAACTATTCATTATGTAGTACACTGGATGTTTTCCTAATTCTGTCGAATAAAATAGAAAATGTACTAATTTAAACCATTTAACTGGAATTTTGACTTGTATGGCTCTGTATTTTAATGGTTGTGCATTCAGTAAGTCAGAGCCCACAGTACTGATGCACAGAATATAAAAATAAAGTTGGGATGTAGCAAATCAAATCCAAAGCCGTTTTAGACATAAATCTGCTGCATTTTTAAACCAAAGTTGTTGTTTTTTTTTTGTTTAGTTTTGTTTTTCAGAAGAACTTAAAAGTATGGGAAATTGAACAAAATCCGTATTTAATGTTTGTCTTTTCTTTTACATATTCACCTAACGCTGGAAAGTAATAAAAACAAATTTCAGACATTTCACAATGTTTCAAGGCTAAATACGAATCCTGCCTGGAGCTCTGAGGACTGCTTAAATATTTTTGTTGCAGCAAAAAAATAGGGTCCCTGCATCCGATTCAAAGAACTAAATGAAACTTTTCTACTTTTCTCTTCATTTTTCTCAGTGAATTTAATCACATGCTGTTTTCACGTCTTGTAAAACAGAGGATCCCTACAGCTGCATCAGCTGTGAGGAGACAGAGTGGTCCGAGGCGGGCAGCACGTCGTGTAGCCCGCGGCTGGTGGAGTACGTCCTGTTCACAGACAGCGGAGCTATCCTCATCATAAGCGGGTCCTGCGTCTTGATGGGCCTCACTGTGGCAGTCGCTTTGCTCTTCTCTGTCACCTACAACACACCTGTTGTGAGATCTGCTGGAGGACCCATGTGCTTCTTAATTTTAGGCTGCCTGATGCTTTGCAGCCTCAGTGTGTTCTTTTACTTTGGAAAGCCAACCACTGCTTCCTGTATCTTAAGATACTTCCCCTTTCTCTTGTTCTACACAGTTTGTTTGGCTTGCTTTGTGGTGCGCTCGTTTCAGATTGTCTGCATCTTCAAAATAGCTGCAAAGATCCCCAAACTTCACAACTGGTGGATGAAATATCATGGACAGTGGGCGGTCATCGCTGGGGCTTTTGTCATTCAGGTTATCTTTCTTATTAGCAGCTACTGTTTTGGTGCTCCTCGTCCCAGCCACGACACTTTCACCTACCAGGACAGGATCATTCTGGGCTGTGACATTAATATTGCAGCCACCACACTATCTGTGGTGGTACCTCTCTCTCTGTGCTCCCTTTGCTTCATTTTCTCCTACATGGGCAAAGATCTCCCAAAGAATTATAACGAGGCCAAAGCCATAACCTTCTGTCTGCTGCTGCTGATTCTCACCTGGGTCGTCTTTGCCACGGGTTACATACTCTACCAAGGCAAGCACATCCACACGTTTAATGCTCTGGCGGTGCTATCAAGTCTCTTCTCATTTTTGTTGTGGTATTTTCTCCCAAAATGCTACATCATTGTTCTGCAGCCTCACAAAAACACACAGCAGTACTTCCAGGGTCTCATTCAGAGTTACACCAAAACAATCAGCCACTAGTTAATGTCCGCTGCAGATAAACTAGGGGAGGTTTTTTTTTTTTTTTTCTAATTCTTGACAATAGTCAGAAAGTAAGACTGCTGAGAATGAGACGGTGCTTTAAGATATAGGTTCTGCATGAGTCTCTCCTCCCAACTCAGCTGAATTAGTGATTGAGCTTCTGTCACTAGTATGTAATCAAGGTCTGCAGAGGCCTTTTAATGAATCGCACAGTTGCAGAACTTATTCTCCTGCTGTTACTTTCATTGTTAACAATCACAAAAAATCACAATAGATCACACTAATTTTGTTTGTAATATAAAAAATTGGGAAAAGACTGAGGAGAATGTATAGTTTTGAAGCAAACTGTGCTCCTTTAAAACTAAAACAGTAGCTGCTAAGCACATTTTGTAAAAATTTGTCAATGAATAATTAAAATGTTTGCGTTTTTGTTAGAATATTGACATTATTTTACTGGTATGAAGTTATTTTGACTCCTGATATGTATATAGGCCTTCACCTGTGTTTACACTAAATCTCCAGCAGATGGCACAAAACAGCAACTTTCAAAGTCAATTTTGAAAATGCAATTTTGAGTGTTTGTGATAGATGTATATAAAGCATTTGACCAAAAGAAAATGGCATTATTTAAAATAACATATATAGAACCTGTTTTACAGTTTCAAATATTAAAATAATATTGGGTACAGAAACAAAAAATAAGGTAAACTGACTGTTTAGTATATAGCTATAATGTTTTAGCAAGTTTGAAAATAACCAACTTACATCTAATTACACAACTATGTTGTACTTTACATGCTGCACTATATTTCTGTTATTAATATAGCAATAACTGTTTTATTTTCTTCTTCATCTCTTTGCAAAACAAAATCTCAAGTTATTTAGTCAATTTTAATGTCCTGATGTAAAATCAGGGTTAAACTTTGTTCTCTTTAAAGACGATTTTTTTTTTTAATGTAAGCTAAACATCTTGTTGTTTAGAAATGTTTGGTCCAAGAAATAAAGAAATAAAGGTTCAGATTTTTCAAATTCTTAATTTTCTTGTATTTTTGTTTTCATTCCAATCTACAGAATTTCCCTTTATGTAAAGATTGTCATTGTGCAATTTTTGTTACTACAAGGGTTTCTTATGGTACTAATGATACTGTGGTTAACAATCACAAACACAGCTTTTTCAGATTTCACGGTCTCATTATATTTCAGTATGTGTGGGTTTTCTCCACTCAGCTCTGGCAGGAGTAAAGAACAAATCAAGCACAATCTGTGGTATTAAATAAATGATTTATTCACAAAAAAATACATTAATAAAAAAAATCAAAATCAAAGATTAAAAAGTGGGAAACAGCAGATCACATAATATTCTGTTCTGGCCTGTGTGGTAAAATTGACATAAGAGGAAAATGACATTTCTGATGTGGCTGCTAATTCACATGAAAAAAAGGTCAAATGTAAGGTTTATGCATATGCTTGATTAGAATTTCAATTAATCGTATTTACATTTTGAAATGAGCGACTGACAAACAGAGAAGAAGATAATGTGGTGGACAGTAGATAAAACACCAAGGAAAGAGCAGGGAAGTTAGTTTTTTTGTTTGTTTGTTTGTTAATGAAGATAAAAGAAAATAAATCACATAAACTTACATTTGACCAGATTTAAAATAGTTTATTCTTTTCTTTGATAAAGTGTGTGACGTAGTGGGGGCTGGAAGGCAAATTTAAATGTGCATCTAGATATAAAGACAAGAGCTTATTATATGCAACATGGTTGCATAAAATCCTGTCATTTGACAGATAAGGACTTATTTGCAAAAGTATTATTGCTTCCTGAACTTTTACTTATTTTACCATGTTACAACCTCAAGAGTATGTTAAAAAGTCAGTCAGGCAAAATCTTAAATGAAATAAGTGGAAGGATCAGGTGAGCTTTTGTACAGCACAGTAAGTCATTCTAGTATGTGTAACTGGATGGTTGTAAAAGGAGCAGAATGAAGTGTGTATAAAATGTTTCGTTTTGGGAGGAGGCGAAACTCTAAAACAATGCTCACTACCCTGAACACAAAACAGGGGAAATTATGTTATTTTTCATCTCCACCATCTGTGTGCTGTGCTGTAATGTTACTATACTGACTGAGATTTGCTGTTTGAAAATGTTCTCAACTATGAATTAAATTGGAATTTTCCCATATAAGCTAAAAGAGGAAACATGTTAAAGAGTGAGATCTGATTTTTCTGTAGAGGTATTAAACTTCAAACCCTGTTTTACTGTGAAAACACAGGAGTAATTTTAATGCTTTTGCATGCTAATTTGTGAATTCCCCTTCAACCATTTCTCAGTATGAATTCTGTTACCACAAGCATGGAAATGAATAGGGTTCAGCATCACTAGCGTCCAACAAAGCCATTGACAGTTCATGTCAGACCGGCAAACATTAATCGTGAGCATGACACATTTTATTGCCGCCGTGTGTCTGGTGGGACTTTTTCTCCAAGGCATCACAAAATCCACACTGAGACACTCAGAGTTTCAACTGGAGGGAGATTATTTACTTGGTGGACTTTTTGACATCCACTACATCAGTTCATCTCCTTCTCAGAAAAGACCTGAAGCCATCGACTGTTCCAGGTAAGTAGCATCAATTCATTAACGAAGTCTGTAAGTCTAACTCTTTTGAGAAGATAGCACTTTTAAAAACAACATCGCCGATGAAGAAATGCACATCTGCTGCGCCTCCGACATTTCATCGTTTCCTTTCCCACAGGGAGATTTTCCTTCTTCCAAATTATCGAAAGTTTCAGTTGATGAGGTTCACGGTTGAGGAAATAAATAACTCCACCAACCTGCTGCCAAATGTCACCCTTGGCTACGAGCTGTTTGACCACTGCTCGGACACTCGTAGCTTCACGGATATCTTCAAGCTCATCTCCGTCAATGGCTCCATCCAACCTTGGCGTGAGCCGTCAAAGAATCGGTCCAAAGTGATAGCGCTGGTTGGTCCTTTCTCAAGCACACATGCCCTGACTGTCGCATCGTTTTTCATGGTGGATCACATTCCTGTGGTAAATATCCTTGCATGCCTTTTGCCTATTTATTACTTTTTATATAAACACCAATTTTACACTAAAAATTATTATGTATGAATTCCCGATAGGTCAGTTACGGAAGTTCTGCTTCAGTCTTTTCTGAAAAACGCAAGTACCCGTCTTTTCTACGAACTGTGCACCCCAATCAGGACACTACAGGTGTGATTGTCATGATTCTTCAACACTTCGACTGGCGCTGGGTTGCTTTCCTCCACAGCGACGATGACTTTGGCATTGACGGCTTGGAGATGTTCATTAAAAGGATTAAAACCACCAACATCTGCCTGGCTTATTCCATGGCCCTCTCTGAGGACACTGATTACTCACTAGTCTTCAAACAGATGGAGAAACAAAAACTAAATGTGATCATTGTGTTCGCTCCAAAGTTTTACGCCGAAGCCGTCATCAAAACTGCAATTGAGGAGAACGTCACCAACAAAGTGTGGATAGCGGATGACGGGTGGTCCTTAAACAAAATGCTCCCCAAACTGGAGGGAATAGGAAATATCGGAACTGTTCTTGGGGTTGCTCAGCCAGTGGTAACAATTCCTGGTTTTGATGATTTTATCTACTTTACTGCAGAGCGGGCTCTCAAAGCAGGTGCCGAGCAGCAAATGTTGTGCAATCAGGTTTGCAACTGCAGAAATCTGACTGCTGGAAAAATTATTGCAGCAGATCCGTCGTTCTCTTTCCCGATTTATTCCGCTGTGCATGCTGTTGCCCGGGCCTTACATAACATCCTGAAATGTGAAACTGGCAGATGTGATGATGCTACACTTGTGGAGCCATTTATGGTACGTATTCATTAATCTTTTGCAGTTTACAGAAATTTGTTAAAGAATTCCCTGTTTAAAATCCCCAGTTAGTAAAAGTTACATAATTTCGCTGGTTGATGCAAAACTAATTGCAAATGTCACGGCTTAGACTTTGTGGACGTTTTGCATATTTTTTTTACCTGCACTCACAGTGTTATGCAAAAGGATTTACATCTCTGAAAACATTGGCATTTTTGGCTAATTAAATCCTCAAAATTTAATTTACACTTTTTCATTTGCACTTCTTCCCCAATAACCTAACACAAAACACATACATAACAATGAGATGGAATAAAAGTGTTCTTTAAGAAATTTTACAAATAAAAATCTGAAACGTGCACGATGCATTTGTACTAAGGTCCCTGATTCAACACTTTGAAGAAGAGCAGCCTTTCTTTAGTATCGGTCTTTCTCTTCTCAAACGTTTCTCTTTTCCAGTCCGAGAGTGAGAGTGAATCGGCCTGCACAAATGTTTTCTCAGATTCTTATTTGCAAACAATATTTAAAGTCATGTACCATCTACTTCAAAATTATGTGCTGTTTTGTGATGATCTAAACCCGAAAGTACTTAGAAGTGAGTTGACGTAACATTTAATTTCATTGCTTTTCAAAAACTGATTCACTAACCACTTTAAAAGTTCATCATGATTGTACGTTGAAGACAGTTCTTGGTTTGTTGCACAATCTATGTTAGGTGGTAGAAGAACTCAGGAAGTCCAACTTCACATTGCTGAACCAGAGTGTCCTATTTGATGAGAATGGAGACCCCTATTCTGGACACTTTTCAATAGTTTTCTGGAACCACAGTGGCGATGCTCAGGAGGTTGGCTTCTACTATTTTAACCAATCTCCTGGCTTCTACATCAACAATACCCAAATTCAGTGGCACACAGGTGGAGAGGTAAGTTTATTTTATTAGTAATACACTCAGAGATGTGGACTAATTCAGGCTGGGATTCATACGTGGATGATGATTGCTCTATATATGTGATGATAGAGCTCCCCTGTGCTGCGCTAATGAATTGTCTCGTACAGGTTCCGATCGCAATTTGTTCCCCCGAATGTCCAACGGGATATGCAAAAAAAACAACTGGAATCCATAAATGTTGCTTCAGGTGTGAAATATGTCCACCTGAAACATATGTCAACATCACAGGTAAATGACTGGAAATGTAAGAATTGTTTCTGTCTACAATCAAACCCAAAATCCATCAAAGATACAGTAAATCATCACAATGCCAACAGGGAAACATGCAAAAAGCTGCTCTGCAATAATAAGAAGGGTTTATAGTTTTAATGCCAATAAAGATTTTACAATAATTATTAAGAATGGTATAAATTATTTTGACTCATGCAATTTTTAAGCTAAAATTTAAATAATATCTGATTAATCTGATAAATTATTATTTTTTTCAATATTGATCAATTTATTTTACATTAACAGAGCTTGTTAGGTGTCTAATCCACTATTACAAACTTCTTGGTTGAATGAAAATAGTTTTAAAACTCAATCAGAATTAGGTATGTATACATATTCATTGTGAGCTTTTCTACAATTTGCCAAAGTTTACATATTGGTAGTCCTCTATAACATTTAAACTGTAGATTTAAAAAAAAAAAAAAAATATATATATATATATATATATATATATATATATATATATATATATATATATATATATATATATATATATATATATATATACAAAACAAAAGCATATATATATATATATATATATATATATATATATATATATATATATATATATATATATATATTTTTTTTTTTTTTTTTTA